ACTGGTGCCGAAACATGGGGATCCAACAGAACTTCACTTCAGTCGTGCACCCTCAGGCAAATGGTCAGGCGGAAGTCACAAACAGAGCCCTCCTCCGCGGACTAAAGGCACGGCTGGATCGAGCTAAAAGATTGTGGGCAGACGAACTACCCAGTGTTCTATGGGCCTACCAGACCATGGAGAAAACCGCCATGGGAGAAACACCCTTCAACCTCACTTACGGCACCGAAGCAGTGATCCCCGCAGAGATCGAAGTACCTACGTTGCGCCTAGAAGCATACAGTGATCAAACAAACGAAGATGACCTACACACCAACCTCGACTTACTCGACGAAGTAAGGGATCTCGCGTACATTAGGACCCCAGCATACCAGCAGAGAGTAGCTCGGTACTACAACGCCAAGGTCAAGAAGCGGAACCTCCGCGTTGGCGACCTGGCCCTTCGTAAAGTTATGGTACCTGAACCCGGCACTGGCAAACTCGGGTCCAACTGGGAAGGCCCTTACCAAGTGAAACAAGTGCTCGGGGAACGAGCTCGAGACCCTCGAAGGGAAACAAGTACCTCGAGCATGGAATATTGTCAATTTGAGGCAATATTATCTGTAAGAAGCGAGTAGGCCATGAGCTACTCCCAAAGCCTAAGGGCCAGAATACTGAGCTAACATGACCTTGGCACAAGAAGACCCCAATCGCCACTTTGGCTTGGGAGAATCCAAGAGCAGACTACGGGTCCCTCCCTAAGCCTAAGGGCCAAAGACCTCAGCGTGAAGAAAAATTACCTCAATGGTGAAGGCAAAGTATGAAATATTAAAGGCGTAAGCAGCTCGGGTTCAAACCCTACGAAGCATAGCTCGTCTCGATACGTCGGTTGAACTAAGGGATAAGCAACCAATGCTTAGTTCGGACATACATAGTAATCACTTCACGGTATACCACGGAGGCCCTAAACGTGACAAATAGGGAGAACGCCTACCGAAGAGCCCTACTTTGGGTAGGTAACTTCAATAACCCAAAATGATAAGATCGCTTTAGCAAAAATAAAAGGAGCTCATTATGCTCAGAAGAGGGAAGAAATTTTCATTGTCAAAAAAAAAACAACAACAACAAACAAATGCAGCGAAGGAAAATAACAAGTGCAGAAACCGAGCTAAGCAGCTCGGGAAAGGTTTTGATCATTATAGGGCACAACCGCCCAACCGAAAAACTAGTGAAAGACCGGGTTCACGGCATCCGAAAGCCACAGAAGCCCAGAGAAACGCCACCTCAAGGATCCGCCTCCTCATCCTCCGGAGAGTCTGGCTCCTCTTCGTCCGCTTAGTCTGCTGTCTCAAGAGACAGGCCCTTCATAGTAATGTCGTCGAGGTTGAGCCCAGAGAACTTCTTCCGAACCAGCCACCGGTAGAGCTTGAACCCTGAGCGGTACGAACCCGAGCCATACTCCGCCTGGAGGTCATGAAATTCCTGGGAGTCTTTAAAATCCTAGACTGCTTTCTCTCGCTCAGCCTCCACCATTTGGTCAAAGTTTCGGGTCCGGTTCAAAAGAGTGGACTCCAGGTCCCGCACCTGTTGCTTGAGGAGCTCCCTCTCCCCCGCCATCCTCGACGATTCCTCGCTATAGCGTGTGCTCTCTTTAGTAAGACGAGCGATTTGAGCCTCCTGGTCGTGAACAAGCAGCTCCTGAGACTCGCTCCCCTTGCGAGTGTGATGGAGCTCGCCCCAGATCCGGTCGAGCTCGACCTGGAGCTTCTGATTGGTAGCACGTTGGTCGAGGGCGTCAATGCGATGGATGTGCGTCTGGAGAGCCATGGCATGGATGGCGGAATTTACCTATAGACGGAGAAGAAGATCAGAACACAGCGAAAAGGGGCAAAACAAAAAAAAGGAGCCACTTACCACCATGCAGTGGGCAGAGGCAAATGCAAAGAGATCCCCGAGCTCCATGTTTCCCCACGGAGCGATCTCGTCATTATTGATTGCCTTCTGACTCCTCCGGCGAGCTACCAGGTAATCGTTTACCCCTCCCAGTTCCCCACTGGGAACCGGGGGTAAGGACGGGGCTGAAGGGGGTTAAAGGGGGCCTCCCCTGGCAGAGAGGGCCCGCTTCCCCCGGGGTTGACCCCACTAGTCCCCTCAGGAGGGGGCATCAGAACCTCGGGTGGAGGAGATGGCAGGACCGGCTTGGCAGACCCGAGCTCAGTGCTTCCTGAAGGAGGGGTTCGGTCAGGGTGCGTCCTCTTCACTTGGCGTCTCTGGCTGCTCGAGAGTAGGTAGCGCGAATCGGCACTAGACATGATGACTGCCAAAAGACTACAAGATATTAGTCCAACAGGAAAGCAAAATGCATGTGTACACAACAGTCACAAGACACTATGCGACCTAATAGGCCGACATACTCGGGCTCAAGCTTAACTGCACGAGCTTCTCTTCGGTTAAGTAGTTCAAGCAAAGGAAGCCTACCGACGCCTAGGACAACATCGTTTTCCGAGTCTCAGGGTCCAGCTCGGCCCCGGGGTCCTGGATGGCGCCCCTCCAAGCGGTGGGAAAGGGCCACCCCTCGGGGTTATAGACCACAAGGTAGTCCCGCTTCTAGGTGGGGATCCTATTCGGCAGCTCGTACAAGAGCTTGTAGCCGCGACGGGGAGAGAGGTAGTAAAAGTGCCTCTCCGGAGGAACCCCAGGAGCAACATTCTTTATACAAAGGATAGAGGCAAAAATGTCAAGGTCTAAAGGGAGGCAGTACTCATGACATAAGGATATAGTCCCAACCATGTTTCGAATAGCGTTGGGGTGAAGCTGGTCTATAGTGGCGTTGAAGTGGTTCAGCACCTCCATTATCAAGGGGTGCAGGGGAAGATGCAGGCCAGCCTCGAGCTGTTCCTGAAAGATCATTATGTCATTGGGACCATGCTCCCAAGGGAAGTTGCCAGTAGGGAGGCTGTAAACCAGGTCCCAGGAAGGCGAAAGTAGCGGATCGGAGATCTGAGCCTCTCCGCTGTCATCAAGGAAGGGCCAAAGGTATCAGGCTCCCTCCCCCTAGAAGTGGACGCCATGTCGCCAAAGGCCTCCCGAGCCTCCGGGATATGCTCCCAGGCTCCCCCTGAGCTCGAGGGAGCATCATCATCATCCTGACCATCGCCCTTGTGGTAGGTATGGCGTGGGTACCCAGACATGGCTGACGGTGATCGGGACTCACCAGAGTAGACGGAACGGGGCGGACTGAGAAACTCAAGTAGACCAGGCGAAGTACGCAACCTCAAAATCCAAAGCAAGATGGCGTAGACGGAGGTAGGGCCGAGGGGGGCTCCCCATTTATAGCCCTCGCCCTCTCAAACCGATGGCCCAGATCAAAGCAGATCCAACGGTTCGCAGGCACCCTGACCGCACGCCTTCTAAAAACCGAAGGCGATTGGTGGCACATCTTCCGCGATTAAGGTAGTCACAGCAGCACGACATTCGGAAGTAAAGGCCACCTCAGCACATTTTCGGAACCCAAAAAGTCAGAAAAGTTAGAAGATCTCTTGATTCCCACAAATACATTTATTGAAGACAGTCAATCAAGTTTTGAATTTCGGTCAAATCAGTCCATCGCGCTTCGTAAGCTCCCCGCGCTAAGGTGGCACTCTTAGCCCAAGGAGTGGGGGGCAATTGATGAAGGATGATTTGACCCGACCTATGAAATGGTGACACGTGGACGCCGACTCAGCGTAAGCGACCGCTCAGCATCGTGTTCCGATACGGTTAAGTGATAGGCCCATAAAGCAGCCCGCTACGTGGTAGCGAGGTAAAGGAGGGGCTCGCCACAATG